ATGCACTAAGCTGCTTGCAGGTGCCATTTCTGCTTTACACTGACATCAACTCATTGCTGTGTTAGGCACTACCTACCAGCCAGGGCTCGCTTTTCCCCTGCAACTCTCTACTTTTTGACATCCATAGCCTTTATAATCACTGTTCATCCTGGATTGGTGAGAATATATACAAAAGGTCATCTAAAACCCTGACTTCTAATATACACCAATGGAAGCAGTAATACAGTTACTTGTAAATTCAAGTGTCACTGAAGGCCCCACTACACTTTCACGTAATTTAGACTGGCAATGAAAATTAATAGAAATCAATGGGCTGGAATCCCAAGATAAACTGAAGGATCTCTGTCTGCTTTGGTTGTACACACTCATTTTGCAAATGAAGTTATTAAGTTGTCTTGAGATACCATCAGCAAATAAGGAAAGCTGTCCTTAGCTCAAGTATTATATGAATTTAATTTAAAACAATTTCAAAAAGCATAATGAAATGGTGAAAAGGTCTCAGAAAAGGAAAAGTGGAAAAGTTGCGCAGAATTGTTTTTTCCGGAAATATTTGAATATCGTAAGGCGACATCCATTCAGTGTCCTAGGACAGGACAGAAATATTTTTAAACTGAGATCTTCCTGACAACGCTAAAAGATTTTGTGGTAGTCTATAGCAAGTTGCTAGGGTATACATGACCTTATTGACAGCAGTATTTAGTTTTGATAGCAAAAATGGAAAATCTGCTCACATGACAAAAATCTGTGTGCAGTATTCTTTGAACTAAACCACATTCAGTATCACAGGAAACAGCTACATGTTTGGGTTTTATTCCTAGGGTGAGAAACCTGTCACGTATGCCACTGTGGAGTCAGCTGTGTGGTTTTAACAACTGAAATAATTGATAAAAATGAGTTTATCTTAAAAAATATTTTCTCTACAGAAATTTGTGTCACTAAAGAGACAAAGTGTCAGAAGACTATTTCTGCAGGAAAAAGAGGATACAAAGCTTAGATATTTTAGGGTTAAAACCAGATGTTCTGATGCTGTAGCAACAGTATGACTCTTTCTGAGATGGTAACGAGACCTATAGCCTGTCCTAGCACTGCTAATGTACATAATACACACAGTGGACAGTGACACGATTCTACATACCATAGCTAACTCCTCAATTTCTTCCTGGCTCTGGTTCATTATCACTTGACGGGATATTTTCCAGGTTTTCAGGCATTGCTATGTACTCATGCCAGAAAAGGAGACTTACTGCAAGCTTTCCTTTGAGTCAGGAGCCTGAAGTGGAAGAAGCCAAGTTAATTTCTGCTTGAATTCTGAATTTTTTTTGGTCAGAAAACAGTTCTAAAGATGAAAAAAACTAGCTGTTTTGAGTAAAGTAAGGAAAGCAAAAGAGATTTTTGAATTTAATTTCATTTCACTTTAAAGCAAATACATGAATTACTGACACTCTAATTCAGGAGGTGCTAGGAACAAGCAGGATATTTTAAAGCAAAGTTCCTTGAAAATTTAAAAAGAATATCATAAAGAGAAATATCTTACAGGCATCTCAGAGAAACAGCTGTCCAACTTCATCAAAATTCAATGGTAATTGCATCACCAACTCTCCAATGTTTTTTTTTCCAAATTCCAATCCTAAATCATTTGCCTGCACGAAACACTACAAAGATGCTTTATACTAAACAATGTAAGTATTTTTGATTTTAAAATGTTAGTGTAAGCATTTGCTTCAACTATTGCATTAAAATGTTTGCCAGTGATGATCTGAGCATAGCAGAAATTAAAATAAAAGTTTTAACTACTGTGGTAGCACAAAACCAATGCAATATATGCCAAACCCGAGTATGTAAGTATTTAAACATGAGACTGATTTTACCTATACTATAGCTTACTATAGTGAGCTTAATTCATAATTATACACAATTTTATGAAATCATTGTTTTGAACTTACTGGAGATCTTGACATGAATAGAGTTTTGAAGTCCCTGGCACTACTGATGAAGATAGCCCATAGCCAGTGTAACCCGGCAAAACCATCAGTGCTGCCAGTGTGATGCTCATTTCCTGAGCTACCAGATATTTTCTCCTTATTGAGAAAGCATTTGTACAGAACACTCTTCCTGGGTGTTAAATTCAAAGCAGTCTGTCCATCATTAAACAGTGATGTTGTACCTAGTATAAATTTTTTATAAGTAATGGAGACTTTTAACACAAAAGGACACTACAACTTTTGGAGGTCCTGTTTGCTGACAGGCTGAGAGAGTTTGAAATATGAGAATCCTTACTGAGTTGAACAGTGAGAGAAATTCATTAAACAACAATGTATACATTGATATTTTGTCAATACACATTGATAAATAGGTCATCAATAAATAAATCTTAAAAGAAACCAAGACTATGCCGCAGGTTCTTCTAGGTGAGTACAAGGGGGCAGGAAGAAGTACCATTCAATACCTGAAACAACTGCTACCTTCATATCTCCTTCCAGGATAACAGTGTGGTCCTTTTAGCCTAACTATTTCCATCTTCTATTATTGCCTATTTTACTGATAAAAGTACAGGCTCTCTATGAATCTCCTAGAAGACACATAAACAAAACATCTTTAGCAAAAAGTAGGCAATGGACAACAGTAAACTTGCCACAATCAAGCAACATTTCCTATTCATCAATGTTCTAATTCTGTCATGTAAGCAAAATTTGAAGGAAGAAACTTGAACTATATGGTGCAACCTAAAACTGGACAAAATGTAATCTCCCATTGGATGTTGACAACAAGTATTATTTTAGAGAAGTAGAGATCAATTGGATTAGACCACTGTGAGAAAGGTAAGACAGTTAGTTTTTTAGCCAGGTATGGCTAGCAATCTGGAATTATAATTCAGCTGCCACTAGCGCATCTCCTGGTTTGTAGGGTCTGCACAGAGATCAAGTTATAAACAAATATATTATGTTTGGGGAGTCTGCCTTTAAAACACAGCTTTTACCTTTTGTTCCAAGACTGGGTTTTGAGAGCTTTCTGGAAGTAACATGTAGAGTCCACATATGAAATGAAGTATCTCAGTTTAAGAAAGACTATCTTCTCAGGAGTGACTCAGGTGAGCATTACGACAATCTCAACTCATTAAAAGCTGTGTTTATTTCACAGTTGCTTGCTAAACCAGACATTGGTGTTCAGTCCCTTCAGCTCTCAACAGGCAGTCTTGTGATGAAGGAGAAACTTCCATAACTGTCAGTGGTAAGAAGGGAAATCAGTATCTGGGTTTTAATTACCGGAGTGTGATTGTGGATAAAGATGGTAGCCATAGTTGATTACACTTAATTGATTTGCTCTTACCATCTTAAAGAGTACTGAATTATAGATAAAGAACTGAAGAGTCCCTTTGGGTGAAAAGTCCTATCAACTTAGATTGGAAAGGTCTACAGCAGAAGAATAAAAAAAGGTAAAATTAGTCTTTGGAGATTTTGTATTATGCAAAAAGAAACACAAAAACAATTCTTATCAACAGTATTTGTATTAGTAATCCATTCCTTTGAGAGGCTAGCTGGAATAGTAAGTAAAGAGCGGAAACAATAGTGACCTTGGAGCATCCTTGTTTGGCAGTCAATTAAGAAAAAGTTGCATGTGAAAAAACTCAAAGATGCAAATTTCCTTAATGAGAATGTGGATGCTAATACTATCCTTGGCTTGCACAGTAGCCAAAATTTGGGAATACACTGATCGAATACAGACAAACCCCCAGAAAGTAGGTGCAACAGTCATACTCAGCATGAACTTTAGCATAACTGGGGAACTGGTAGATTGATTTCAGTTTTCTGACTCCCCAAAGCAACCACGGGATAATCATGAACAGACAAAATAGTTGGATGATCACAAATATGAAAAATGAGAAATGTGGTGCAGCCACTTAGACATACTCCAAGAATATTACAGGATGAAAAGGCAAAACGACAGTATTTGGACAAGATCACCACATTTTTGTTATGTCTGCAATTCAAAAAATATCAGATACAAATAATGTGTGTGGGATGTGATACAAAATTTTGAACATTTGTTCCTGGGTCTGTTAGCTGTTTGTGTATTATTACATAACCAGTGACCCACACATGTGGCATGCTAAGTATTTTATTATTTAGTGTACCAGTTCTAAAGTTCCATCAAAAGTAAGGACTTTTCTAGAAAATACTTGTATGTTAGATAGGAAAGAGAAATTACTAATATAATACACGAGTAACAACTCTTCAAAACTTAAACTCAGTTCATCCCGTCACCTATTATGCAGGCATTTTGTTACTCACCACAGAGAAGGGCAAGCAATCTTCTTCCCTCATGTAAAGCCCCTGATAAGACTCTCTTTTCTACACTAAGAATGTTATGTTATACAGTATGGGAATAGCGATAGGACACACCAGAGGGAGCACATGTTTATCTCATCCTCAACTCCTGGATGGGTTCCTTTTTTCTGGAAAACTTTCGTAGAATATGAAGATGGATCTCTTTGTACACAGAATTTTTCCCAAGCAATTTCTTTGTTCCTAATTCTCTACTGCTGCTGCCACAACTCAAACACACTGACAAACCCTGTAGTTCATGCTACGCTAACTTCTCCACATTTTCTCTAAGTCTCTGTTTGAATCTTCATTTTGTATAGAAGAGACCCTCAGGGACACTGCAAACTTTGTGTCTTCACACCAAGAGCCTATGCTTACCATTCCTTTGTATATTCCTTACATAAACACCACAAATATCATATCTCTCATTTCAGCTTTTATTTGGGTATTTTTAAGTTAAGTTGCTCAAGTCCATTTTCCATCAATACAGACACTAAAAAGTTGAGATCAACATTTAAGGCAACATTAGCATCCATGCCAAGCTCAATATGCAAACCTTACCATCTAAGCACCACAGCATCCAAGAATTGTCACAGGTCCCCCACCTCCGTCACACATTCCCTTTCCTTTTTAACTCTGCTATCCCACACTGCACTCAGTAACTCAATTTAGATGCAACATTTTCAAGTAAGACCTTGTCATTTTTTGTATTTTATTTCTTATGAACTAGATATTTTTTTGCATAAGGTGATATAAATGAGCGAGATATGTTTCAGGGTGAAAGTACGCCATTGATTTATGTTGTGATACCATATCCAAAAATCCTATTTTTCTTAAAAATATACTTAACATCATTATTCCACGACTTAGTATAAACATATGTATTTAGCCTTTTAGCAAAGGCAATACATTGAGACTTGTTAGAATGATAATTTTGCTTTAAATTCTGATTTCTTTAGTCTTTAGTGTTACTGTTGACAAGTGTTTGAGTTAAGGATGCTCAGGTGCAACTTTTATGTAAGAATATTTACAAGTATACAAAAGACCACATAGTTTTTAATACACCACTATTCTTAATACAGAGTAAATAAGGATTTGTCTTGTGCCTGTGGAAATATTTCAACATGTGGGTCTTGCTTTTTTCTCTTTTACAGTAAAAGGAAAGGTTTTACTTTTCCTTAAGAAGTGTATTTATTACAAGATGGTTAGCATACATATATCACATAACATACAAGAGTTAAAATTAACTAGTTACAAAATAAGTAGTGGTATGTATATTTTCATATAACCTAAGAACAGGATCAGTATTTTACAAAGTACATATAAAAGTACTTCATATACAAAGAAAAATACAAATGTGCAAACACCATTGTCACAGGTGGAAATTCGTCAATTGAAAAATGCTAGAAAAATCCTTCATAGTTTTGTTTTGAAATTGCAAAAGCATTAAAAACAGCTGCATTTCCTATTGTGTGTGGTGAGAAATGTATGTTCCTTTCTGACAAAATACATTAGTAATAAAAAAACCCACAAACAATTTAATAACTGAAAAATCTTATAAGTATAGTCAGTTTGGTTAGGCTGACATTAAATTACAAGCAGAACGCCTGGAAGAATGAGAAAATAATGACTCATATATACAAACGTTTTGTAATATTAGTGTGCTATTTAACATATTAACATTTCAAAATAAAAACAATGGCTTAATTACCTACATATTCTATTCAATGTCATCAATATTTGTAGACTGTAAAATTTCTACTGATTTGGGGCTATTAAAAATGTTGTGCCAGGATATTAAGCTGAACAAACACAATTTTATCAAATGTAAAAATCTATAAACAGTCTTCCAATTCATGTGCAAAAAATGTTTAAAAAGTATCAAATCACGACACATCAAACCTGATTATGTACATATTTAATATCTGTAAATGTTGTTAACTAGCTAGTATTGTTCTGCTATAAATAACTTACCTCTGTCCTGCGAAATGTCTGCATTTTAAAGATTTCAGTGCAAGTGCTTGCTTCATTGTTTAGTGCATTATCATGTTTGTTATTTTTTATTTTACAGTGAGCAGAACAGCATATAAATTAACATATACAACTCACACATAAGAGATCTTTCATCTACTGAATTCCTAGTTTGTTGTTTTCTGTTCCTCTTGGATAGTGTCGGCCAGTTTTCATTCATTTATCACATTGCAATTGCAAAAGAATCTAAAATAAAAGTGCTATGATCTTCAGATAATCCCTAGAATTTCAAATTCCATAACAACATTGCAGAAGCACTCAGTAGAGCACAAGATTAGAGAACAACCTGCACACTGAGAAGACACTTGAAAGTCTAGTATGGGGCAATTTCACTTTTTGGTCTTTAAAAATATCAACTGTCTATAAACATTGGCAACCTGATATATATGTCACTGGACTCACAAGCTTCATTTATTTATTTACTTTTAGGAATTGTAGACATGTTCCCTCTTATTCATGACTGGCTTGGAAATAAGAACATTCTGTTTAAAAATATAAATAAAGTGAAAATACACTCCCTGTTGGAGGGAAGATTTCTACAATTTCCTTTGGACAGGTTTCCTAACAGAATAGTTCTGAAATGAGAAAACCAGGATTAGATGATAGTGCAAACAGAACCCACTTTTATAGCTAGGAATTGTACTGAAGAAAGTGGAAATTCAGGATAAATGGATTATTATTTTACAAAGTCCTCCCTGCAGGAAAAAAAATAGCAGTTACAGTGGTTATAATTATTAAACAGAAAAGGAACTTTAGCATATCATGAACATTTATGGCTGAAATGTAAGGAAGGCTGGTTGTCTGTCAGTAGCATTTCAGAACTTAGCTTCTTACAGGAAGAGGTGCTTTAAACGTGTCTTTATTAGGGAACGCTTTTCCTTTCTAAGCATCTGAAATGCAACTCTGGATCCTATCCATCCATTGTTGAGCACTCTGTGCATCTTGGGCACAAAAATTATATACACGTTTATTTGTCTTCAGCTGCAAAGGGAAAATAAGAACATGAAGATAGACAAGTCAAACACACAAAACAGAAAAAGAAGCTTGCAAACTTTACTTTAAACCGTAATACTCAATGTACTAATTGGGTCTGAACGTAACATTTTTTGAACTTCTGCTGTTGAGAGTGAGGGCCAGATGCTAGCTGTATAAAAACTTTTTGTCTTGAGTTGGCATGACAGCTCCTTCCTAGCTCACACATTCCAGCAGGACTGAGAGTAGTAAGTTAAACGCACCAAGAAAAGAAAGCTTCACATAAAAATCAAGTAAAGAACAGATATACTTACATCAAAAAATGCTTTTTCACTTGCATGTTTTGGGGCCCCAATTGTTGGAGACGCAGGAATCACAGTTTCTACTTCTGCAAGGTCTATGTGTCCCTTACAGCTTGTATCCTCACCAGAATCATAGTATCGCAGCTAAAGCACAAGAGAAAAAAAAACCCCAAATATGCTATTTAGACGGACCGTTCGCTGCTTCTTCCCTTTTCCTGGATACAACTTGGGGGCATGGAAAGGAAAGGGTGGGAGGCATAAATATTTTTAGGACCCAAGGACATCAGACATGGGAAATTTCTAAGACACAACTGACAGAAACCATAGGTTTGCTATAGGGAAAATGGTGGAACTGGTGATAGCCCTTAACTGGCTAATCCTCTATTTGACATCTCTGGGTAATAGCAAAGTCTCCTGTGCAGATACAGAGTTGGGGGAGGACTATTTTGTCACCAGAGTTTCAGAGCAGAGAAGCTTCAAATAGTCATGCATTGCTTCTGGGCAGGGGATGGGTGAAGGATGAAAGCAGAACCTGGTCTTTAGGATTCAGCATTCCTTATCATCGGCTTTTCGAACAGAAGCCACCTCTTCACCCCTCATTACATTGAAATGAACACAAATGTTTTACTTCACCAAGGAGTTAACAGAACACTTATTCTCTGTATTTCAAGAATTTAAGATGATCAGCAAAAATTTAAGTATAAATTTAGATAATTATAAACTACATAGAAAACTCACATTTTCCTATACTGCACTTAGTGGTTGAATGAAGCTTGCTTTTTTTTTTTCTCCTTGCAAAGATACTTTGATATGAATGTTAACCACTCTGTAAACTGAGTTTCAATATGCAAACAAGTTCCAGAAGAGAAAACCTGATACTTGCTTTTCAAAAAAAAAATAAAAAAAAATAAAAAAAAAATCCCATAATCCAATGCAAAACAGTAAAGCAAATCTTCATAGCAATGGTCAAACAACAAATTTCCAACTAAGATTGAACTGTATTACTCCTACGTCTATGATACTTAGGAGGATATTTGGATATACAAAAAATGTTAAAGCATTTTTTCCCTTCTGCAAACTTAATCTTTTCTCCTATATGTCAGGAAGATTAATTAGAATCAGCACATTTGTCGGTATTTTACCACATTAATCTAGAAATCCTAATTAGCATTTTAAAAGATAACTGTGTTTATCTATATCACATATTGTTTAAGTGTATTGATTACAATAAATTCATATTTTTAAACAAAAAGCATACATGAGTCTCAGAGGTTACAACCCACACTGTGTGGAATATTTGGCTCATTGAAGATTACTGCCTGATGACCCAACATTATTTAAAGTACATGAGACCACAAATTTCCACTGCAGAATTCTGGCACCCATGGTAAATCGGGTAAAATGTTTAGACCAACACATCTCTGTTTTTAGTGTTCCTTGCTGTACAATGATTTGTCAGAATATTTATGAATACTTGTGCTACTGAATTTATGTCACTATGACTAATCTAAAATACTCCTATATAGGGTACCTGAAATTATTGTTCAGTCAGAACTTGGCATTTCAGGACTTCTGGAAATTCAGATCTGAGATAACATCTTAACTCACTTTAAGTCATCAACAAAATTCAAACTCATTTCAGAGAGATCTGTGACCCTGTTCTCCAGATCTGGAAAGAATTTCATGCAGAGATTCCAGGTCAACTCTCTGAAATGCAGGTTACAGAAAAACACTAAAAAGTCAAGTGAGGTAAATGGATTTTTCTGCTGAAGCAGTTCAGATGATGATTTTTCAGAGTATATCATGCCCTTTCATTTGCAAAGAAAAATGCTCATGGCAAAGTGCTTGAGGAACAAAGAGGCTGTAAAATACACACTGAGCATACAGGAACTACTACAGTTTCAACACAAATGCCTCAAATAAACTTGCTATCTGTTACCATATTAGCTCTCAGCATCCCCATTGCACTCTAGGAAATACTTTCTAAGTTTTTCACTCTCTAGTTCAGGAAGAGTTTTTAGTGCTTTTGGAAACTAAAGAGATCATATTAAAGGGCAAATTATGCTCACCACTTAATTGCTTAATGACATTCTAGAGTTAGCAGTGCTTTAAAAAATAGCTTGTATTGCTTGTATATCACAAGGCCCAGAAAATGTCCTCAGGCACTACCTGGCTTTTTTTTCCTGAGGTATGAAGCAGGCAAAAAATGTTTGGGCCCAAACAGTAATGCATTACTTGCAGTCCGAGAAGTCTTTTATGATTACACGCTAAACAGTTATCACTGTTTTAAAACCCCCAAAATACTAAAAAACCTCTGCCCATTCAGAATGCTGTATCAGCTAAAAGATACATGAGATAAACATAGATACATGGTCTATAATGATGTAACACATCACATCTGAAAATAATAATTATTAGTATTATTTGTAAAATCTACATAAACCCAGTAAATAAAAAAGCACCAAACTATTCATAAAAACATCCATTATCTGAAAAGGTTTTACCTGATGTTTTGTCACATCCAGCACAAACCAGCGAGGTTTCCAACCTTTTAGTAAAGCTCCTCTTTTGTACAGCGTACCTTCAAAAGATCTGAAAGGCACAGAAAAAACAAATGGCACCTGATTACATAATATGAATACTGGTGATACATAAAAGCCCCCAAATTACTACATACATATTCAAACACTTCTTTTACTGTAGTAAAACAAACTGGTTTTAAACCAATAGTTTAGTTATTGGTAACTGTAATACACTGATAACACTGTTTCAGTGCTTTGGACGCGTTCAATGTGCAGCTACAATTTGCTTGTGCATATAAAAGGGGACACTGAAAGATACTGCTAAGAGACAGAGGCCCACCCATCTAGACAATTCAGTGTAATCAAAACCACAAAGGAACAAAGTAGTCACAAAGCATTCTGTGCATATGAAAATTTATTTTTTTTTTCCTAAGGCAGAGACTTGTACCAATCTAGTACAACGTTCTGAAATACTCTGAGATTGTTCAGTTTACCTATTTTCATCATTCTTTGATGTGAAGTGATTGTATAGCGTAGTTGTTCTTCTGTCTACTCCATTAGAGGGAGAGATGCTTGCACTCTGTTCCTCACCCAGCCCACTGTCGGGTATTTCCAACAAAGACCTCTTTTGATAGGAATGTAGATTAGCTGACATCATCCCTGAAGAGCCAGATGGATGTCTCCGGAGCTACAAAAGATGAAAATAAAAGGAAAAAGGTAACACAATGTGTCTTGAACTGTGAGACTGTCTCAACGTTATACTGATAATACGTGGTACAACATATAAATTGTGAATTATTATGAGGCAAAAAAAATCTTCATAATACAAGTCAGTTCTGAAAACAAGACAGAGGGATGGCAATTCAATGAATTTCTTAAGCAAAAGGGTTCACATGAGAAAGAAATATTTTAGAAGAGCCTTGCATATTCCACTGACATAATCTTGAACAATGTTTCCCTTGCTTTCTCAGAAGCATCTAGACCTAGTCAGACATTTGGATTCAATACCTAATTTCACAGGGAAAGAAGGGAAGGGAAGGAAAAAGAGTGCAGTTTCCAAGAGCTGTTTTATAGATCCAAATCATTCTAGTAGAATCTCAACTATCGGGAACAAGATGGATCCTGAATTTGTTCTTAATCTAAATGACAGCATCCTAGAGATAGAGTTCTTTGGGGTTGACCCTTAGCTATTGTATTTATCTGAGAATCCTTAAATAAAAGTTAGGACAGAAGACTGATATCAAGTATATTTATACTTGCATTTTCCTTTCTGCTTCCAATTCTATAAAGTTCTCTGTTTTCCTAGGATAAAACTTTATTCATCTTGAATTCGTCTAGGGCATAAAGTGAACTTGGATGACTCTGACAGACATAAAGCATATTGCTTTCCTGAGAGCAAAGGTACAAATAACAAAGTAGTGCTGCAGACTAACCATTCTGTGGAGGCTGGCACATTTCAACTAGCACATGAAGCTGAAGAGTTAGGGTACAGTCTTGAGCTGGTAACTCACTGTGCCAAGTTTAAACAGAAAGCTCACAAAAAGCATGCAGATAGCAAATAGGCAGCCTTTGACTTAGAAGATATCTATATTGTCAGCTATTCTCTTCACCACAGTCAAGAATTGGAAACACAAGCATGGACACTTCCTACCTTTACTAGAACCTACAGTACCAAAATTCCATTTACACATGGGAATATCTTTACTCATCTCAAACTCTGTGATGTCCTTTTGGCTACTTTCAGGCACTGAGGTTTTTTGTACTTCAAGAATCTTTTAAATATAAAAAGTCGTGTATTAGTTACATGCTCATGGTCATTTAGTCTGTATGCCTTAATCTACTTTGGAAAAGCAATTAGATAAATAGCACAAGAATAAATATATTTTTCTACATGCAGAAATTCAGAGCCAGTATCATGGGTTAAAACAACATATTCAATTTTTCAAAATCAGTATTTTACTCCAAGAAATACAGTGATTTTGTCAGTGCCCCAGGTAGCCTATATGGATGAGCTCTTTTTTATTACTTACATTGTCTTGTCTGGTGTCATCCTTTAGATTAATTTTGACCCTTTCCCACAAAAGCTGCCACCTTTCTGGGCTCTGATTTAATTTACTTTCCAACCTTTCGATTTCCTGAAACAAACAACAAGGGTTTTCTTAAGGATAAACATTTCGAACTGATCACTTCCTGGCAATCATTTTTATACAACCATTTTCTAGTCAATATTTTTACACAGGGAACTTTCAGGGCATGTTATCATAGAATCCTAGAATGTTTTGGGTTGGAAGGGACCTTGTCCAGTAACATACAAAAACCTCTACCAAACCAGCTATAAACTGAGATCAGCCAGACTCAGGAGTCAAAGGCAACAAAGCACAGCATCAGCCACATCATTCTTGCATGTCACAGGTTGGAGGAGCCACTGTGCTTTCAATTCTCTGCCAGTTCTCCTGAACACACAAAATTCAACACCAATTGCCATAATAGAAACACAACAATGATAAGGATAGGCTGTATTTTATAAAAATATTTACGAAGAACAAATTCTGTGTTGTGCACCAACATTGTACATTGCCAATATTAACATTTACCCTGGTTTATAAAATGTGATACAAAGCTGTATTAAAAGACGGAAATGAAACAGAAAGATTTATTCAGTTTGGATGCCAAACTGCAACAACATGTTCTTGTTGTGGAACTTGGGAATATGACCTATGTCGATAACCTCCAGTTAGGGTTATTTCCTGTTAATAAGACTGCATGCAGAGCTAAGTAAAAAGAGGCAATTTCATTAGTTTCTGTTTACTTGTGAACACGCATCGATACATTTGTCATTACTTTGATGTGTGGCCCATATTCCTTTCCATGCTTCCTTTCTATATTTTTACTTTCAACAACTGTATTATTATGACACTCTGATTCTTAATGAAATCAAATTAAAAACTCAATTTTGCAAATCCAATTAAGAATTGATGATGGAACAAAAAATTGCCATAGGACAGAGAATTACCATGCTATATAAAAGCCAACTAAAACCCAAGACATTTATTTTCAAAGTAGGGACAGTAAGTCTCTGATTTTATTTACTTCTACTATACCAAATGATTAAAGTAGATTTCATAATCTTCTCCAACGCCTATTGGTCTTTTAGAGTGACAGTTTCTTCAGGAAATTGTTATTGATTGAAAGACTTACAGAAAATGACTATATTTTTAAGGTACGAAAACATTTTGACTAGGAAATTAACTCCTGAACTAAATTTTGAACTCTGAAGTGAAAATAAAAAAGCCAGTATTTGACAGTGTTAACAGGGAGAAAATATTTCTACAGACTCTTCCTTGCTGAAGGTAAATTAGAAAACTCAAAAGTAAAACAAAATATAAGAAATTCAGCTTAACAGCAAGAATCAAAGCAGAAGTTTTAAATGCTGAAGGTAGTTGAAAGCCACATATACATTCAATATTATGGGACTCTCTTCCTGCCAAGAAATAAAACCAGAATAGTTTTGTTTGGAGTATCTTCCTAGACAGATAAAAAAAATAAGGAATGGTGAACACAAGCCAGAGTAAAGGCTTCTCTAGATTACTTGTTCCTCTTTCAAAGTGCTGAATGTAAAACGCTTCCTGATGGGATACATACAACTGAATCAATTTACCACAGACTTTTTATGTAAAAGACTTTCCAGATTGCTGCGAAAGGATACAAGCTAAAAGTGCTAAAAGTTAGTCAGGTTTTAATCTGATCATTCTCTTTCTGCCCTGGTCTTGACTTCTGAGTACGAGTCCTTCTCTGCAGAATCTGGAAGTAACTGAAACTTGTTACTTAGCAACTGGGTCACATTCCTTTTTTTTTGGCTCCACAATAAGTAGTGCTTCCAGAACTTAAAAACTTTCAACAATCTCCTATATATAACTTGAAAAATTAGGAATAAATTCTCCTTTAGTAAACCCCACGTAAAAAAGTTACACGGCAATAAATCATTAAGATTTACTCTTGCCCCTTCAGTTTTAAATTTTAATGAAAACATCAGATTTTTTCCTTCCATATGTGGAATGGACTATGAATAGCTGCATCTCCTTGAAAAAAAAATTCCTTAAATTTATCTTTCTGGTTCATCTCCTGTTGCCTAGACTTACGGAAGCAAAAGTCAATGTATAAAAAGAAAGGTTATAACAAATGCAAGTATATAAATATCCATTTCCTGAAATTAGTAATTACAAGCTATTAGCATTACTGTGCCTTTCAAAAGATGTATCTGCTAAGTAATCTGCTTTGTACTGTTTGAATGGTACAGACAGGAGTTAACTCTGCAGACATTCCAGAACTACGGAGACTGATCACCTCCCTCGTATCCACAACGTGTGTGCACACACAAAATCTGGACAAAGTCCTACACTAGTGAACTGTCTTGACTGTGAGAGAGCACCCTGTTCTGGGATTCCTCCTTGTTAGCATTTTCTCTTCCAACTCCTGGGCTAGAAGGCTTCTGAGACTTTGATTAGAAGATGCTGAATGTGTATCCAGTGATCGAATTGCTGCCTGTGTCATGTGTTCAGACTTGGGTGTGCAACAAGTTGTACATGACTAGTGGTTTAATATTTGGCATAAGCTTTTTGGTTCAGGGTCCACTTTGATGGATCAGCCTTTTTGGCACATAAACAAAAGTTATAAACCGGCTCACAATCAGGAGTTCTATTTTTATTGTTTTGCTGGTTATTCATTGATCCCTTACATAGCTTTAGTTCTTTACAGCAGAGTTAATTTGGGTGACTGGCATCCTGAAGTGGCATCTTTGAGTTCGCCAACCTCTTTCTGTGCAATCACCATTTAATGTGAAGTGATGTAACTGCTTATTTGTAAGAACAGGACATATACGTTCATCTCTCACAATTCTTAAAAGTACTGGAATCTAAGCCACTCCCAATGAATTATGGGGACTGAATACCTTTTTAGGAATGTTAGCAAATTAGTGGGGAACAGTGGAAACATGTCTGCCCTCAAGGATTTGACTTGCATTTTCACTGAAATATAGTTTATTACTACCTCTAATACAACCAGAAACCAGGCATCTATCACAGAACGGTTGGGGTTGGAAGCGACCTCTGGAGATCATCTGGTCCAACCCCCCTGCTGAAGCAGGGCTACCTAGAGCCAGTTGCCCAGGACTGTTTCCAGATGGCTTTTGAGTATCTCCAAGGATGGAGACAGCACAACCCCTCTGGGCAACCTGTGTCAGTGCTCAGTCACTCCTGCAATGAAAAAGCATTTCCTGATGTTCAGATGGAACCTCCTGTGTTTCAGTTTGTGCCCACTGTCTCTGTCCCTGTCACTGGGCACCACTGAACAGAGTTTGGCTCCATCTTCTCTAGAATATAAATTCTTCAGATACCTATATACCTTGATAAGATTCCCCCCTGAGCCACCTCTTCTGCAGGCTAAATAGTCCCAGCTCTCTCAGCCTTTCCTCATATGAGCCATGCTCCAGTCCCTTAATCATCTCCGTGGCCCTTTGCTGGACTCTATCCAGTAGCCCCATCTCTCACTTGTACCAGGGAGCCCAGAACTGGACATAGTACTCCAGGTTTGGCCTTAGCAGGCCTGAATAGAAGGAAAAGATCATGTGCCTCAACCTACAGGCAACACCCCTAATCCAACCCAGGATACCATGAGCTGTTGTTGCTGCAAGGGCACATTGTTGAAAAAGAAAATAGAGGCATAAGTGTGCTGTTCCACGATTGCCTTTCATTTTCTTTAGAAAATGGATGGGTAGCTACTCTTAATATTGGTATCTTGCTTCCGATTTCTGTCATGCAGAAAGACCATCAGAAAATGGTCTTAAAGGGAAGCACCTCTGTTTGGATTTGCTTTTGAGCATTTATGTCTCCAAACTACACTTCTGAAAATTTAATATTTGAACAACCTAGCTCATATTTATTGGCTGCCTTTGATGTGGTAGAAGTGAATTGAGAAGCTTTATACAGAAATCTGTATATTAAAATGCATTTTATCACCTGCAATCTTTAAAAGGCTTCATTTAGGACTAAATGAATGAAATATGCAAATTCTATAAGCATAAGGATTTATGGAAACTATAAAGTTTAGAAGTGGATTCTTATGTACCCAAAACATGTTAGAACATTTACTGCTAAAAAAGTACACCTTTTGCTCTTAATAGAAGAACACCACATTCTACCCAGGAAAATTCTGAATTAAGACACTCAATAACTTCTCTGTTTCAGCTTTACATCCTGATGAGCACTATCTAGTTTTCAACTGAAAAATATCTTTAGAACAAACAAATTTGTGCTTATCATTATAAACTAATGGAGAATCAATCTTCCCTAGTAATTTACCATTGAAAATATGGTCTCAATTCAAACGTTTTTTGGATACCAACACATTCTCAATGGATTTATGATAAAAGAAAAGTCTTTCTCCTACATCAGAAATAGCCCTAAATTAACAACTTGTTTTAGAAGAAAGTTCACTTTGCTTTTTAAACTCAGAAGAATATTTTTGTAACCCTTATACAACCTCTTCAAAGTTTTCCAAATGTTCCTCTCAGTTGCTATCTTTTATTACTATAATCCAATTCACAAATAACATTTAAAAACTCTATAAAATCCGACCCACATATCTGTAGAATATAATACGGCTAATTTCCCCGTTCTATGGCAGTTTCCCACAGCTGTGGGTATGGATAGTTTGGCATCTACCCCAGGAAGAAATGCTTAAGAACATTGTTGCTATATTCCTGATGTACTTCTGGCCTCTACTTACCTGATATGAAAGCTCTCTGGTTTTCGCTAAAGACTCCCTGATCTGACCCCTGCTCAGAGCAGAGAGAGACTGCTCTTTCTTTGCCTTTGTGAAGTTATAAGCCTGAGAAGTTCTGGCTATCTTATTTTGAGGCAAGGAGAGTTTTACAAGTAATTATTATTACTTTTTTTAATTGGGCATTGTTCCTATATTTGATCAATTATGATTGAAAGGAATGGACCAAAAGAAATTTGAGGAATGTGCCAGAATAAAGCTAACTCTCTAGCAGAAGCAAGTCTATCCTCAAGGACTCAAATCCATTCAGAAACTTCCTGCCTTAAGGCTTCACTAAAAATCATCTTTGATTCAGGAGAGTTCAGGGATCCACAGCATATCCCAATTTTCCAAGCATTGCAATATTAGGCTCCGTAATCCCAGCGTTAATATAAGGTAAAGTCTGTGAATAGTTTTCAAAATAAGAAAGTGTACATAGTGATGTGTATCTGAATGTGCATGTGGCTTGAATCAACAGCTCCAGGAAGTGATGAATGTCCTTGTCATTTTCCTGTGCTATCAGTTAAGATGATAATCTAAATATTAGGACTGTTAATTAATTATAATCAACCAACAAATTAATTAATTCAAAATAACTGCAACAATTATAATGATAATGGGATCCTTTTTCATCTTCTAATGAAGAAAGGACAAAACCTAAGCAGCTGACATAAGCTCAAACAAGAAAAAGCCAAAATTAAGCATCTATTTCAAGTACCAAAATATTCTGAACAATCTAAATTTACCAGTTAGGTCCTAGTAAACATGAATAAACTAAAAGCAATCATAGAAAGCTTTTTTAGAAACTTGGGGCAAAGATGTTCAGTTTATGTTTGTGTATCTGCCTCCCACTTGTTAAAATCAACAAGTGTCAGATTCTGTTTTCTGATCTGCCTGGAAATCTGTGTCTTTGTCATTTTACCACACACCTACTTTAAACTGAGTAGAAAGAGAACAAGAAAGCTAGACTCAACATTTGCCCAAACTAAATAACAGTTCCTGTGTTTCTTAAGAAAGGCAACCTAAATATTTATTACACTACCTGCCTTATTATTTAAAAGAGACAGTGAAAAAATTAATCCATGACTGGCTTTCTCACAGTTATTACTATTAAAGTATACTCCCAGAAAAGTGTTCATTCAGAACAACATAAGATTTGCAGGAAGTCTGATTGATTCCCAGACCAACCATCGCTTAAGATCAACCAGTCAGTTTTACTAGACACCTGTTTTGACATCTATCATAGTCCTTTTTAATAACAGTATATCTATAAGGCAATAACTTAAATAAAAAGTAAATATGAATTTCATGAACATAGGAGAACTTACTGTTCCATGCAACACAAGTACTTACATTTAAAAGGCTGCTGATGGCATCAGGCTGTATTTTTTTAACATCATCATAACATGGCCATACTATTTTCCTCTTAGTCCGAGAGAGTGAACCATCTGTGTGGTCAGCTTCCTCTGCAGCACTGCATTTTGCAGTGACCATGGTCCAATCATAGGAAGGACCTGTAGCCAAAATTTCTTCTACATAATAATCCCACTTTTTGAGGCTGGACATATTTACATTTGGCTTCAGTGCCTATTTGAAACAAAGTTTTATTATAACGACAGAAAGGAAGTCTTTGAGTTTCAGGCTTACAATACAGTACAAAGCTTGTATTTTCTAGATTATTCTAAATTGAACAGTGTATTGCACTGGGTGAATAGTGCTGCAGTTTGGTAAGTTCTACAGCAAGATCTTGGCTCAGTCAGATCAAAACCTAGAACTAATACTAGCTTTGGGAATATACTGCTCATTTTTACCCTTCTACTAAATCAGGTGCCTACCAAGAACTCTAATTTAGCGTATGTAGTTGGTACCCACAGAGTCTTTGTCCCTCCTGTTAAAGATACAAAAGGCACTTGATAGCAATCACCCTTCAATTCTTCTCAGCAGAAAATACAACACTCTACCATCAGAGCAAGGAGACAGGCTGTATAGCGTAGGCGAACACGCCACTTGGGAAAACCACAGTAATGAAGTAGGCAGACAGGGAATGTAGATATTTCAGAGTAGTTTAAAACAGATCACTTTGTAGTAAAAATGTTTTGTTTTGTTTTTTTTTCTTTTAAAAAATAAGGTAAGAGGTGCAGTTTACATGTGCCTTACTTGAAGGGAATTCCTGCCTCAGGTGAACGGGCAACTTTAAAGTAAGGGTGATGCTCAGTCATAATGACTAATTCTGCTACTATGACACCATTTCTTATGAGGAAAAACAGTTTCTTCTAAAAAAAGAGAAAGAAAACACTATGAAAATATCAAAAGCTACTCCTGATTGCTTACTAATCAGGCTACTGCTTACAGCAAAATGGATAGAACGTACAGTGAACAAGCAGCCCATCAAGCTCAAATTAATCACAGTGATGGTTCTACAGAGAAAAGCAATGTTTCTCTAAAACAAAGACAGCTGAAGCACTTTCTGTCTACTGATGGTCACCCTCTTGTTTTCTTCCTCCTCTTGCACGGCCGCTCTATTAGGGGAGTGTAAGTGTACATGCGGGTTGAAGGAGGCTGCACTGTTGTCTGCAATAATGATCTGATGCAGACTCAAAATACCTTAAAGAAAATAAGATTTCTTTTCTTTTTTTTTATGTGAGGTCAGTTTATAGAGCAGATTTGAGTGAAAGATGCTATGTATGCTAAGATACAATGTGGTGAAACAACTTGAGAAAAAAGGAAAGCCGAGAAACACCAACAAAAATATCAGTGGTGCAATGGCCTCTGAGACAGTGGAGACTGTCCCATCATGATGTTTTCTGGTCACCAGCAGTGGACAGACAAATGATTTATTGGGGTGAAGCTCACTGCCAAAGCAGGAGAGCACAGCACAGGAATGAACATTTGTGGGGCAGTGGATGGCAGGAATGTCTTAAAACAGCCTTGTTTCCAGAAGTACAGTAAGAACAGCACCCTTTTCTTGCAGTTCCTGAGATATCTTGACTGCTTCTTCCCCAGCTATTGCAGAATTCTATAATGATGCGTGCATTGTGAATTTTATATAATTATTCAAGAGACAGTCCAATCTAGTGGACATACATTATCATATGAGACAGTGATACAGATATTGTCATTCAATCAGATTGTTATGAAATGTATCGCATTGTGACTCTAAACTCATTTCCCCATAACTGTGGTTTGCAGTATGTAATTTAAAAAAAAAAAAAATCTGTGCAAACTTTAAGATCATGTTTATAATCATTCCTATAATTAAATGAAATTAAATAAAGATCCTCATTTACCTCAGCAAGATGCATAAATACATGTTCTAGAATTTTGCCCTTTAAATAACATTTCTGTAACTAAGATGACTGCGAATATAAGCTTATGAGACACTGCTCCAATCAATCACAGTGGGTCAACTTTGTCTGCCAAATGCTTAGTTCAGTTGAGAACAATTAAGATATCAAAATATATTCAAGGAATCACTCAGAATAACAAACCACTTTTTTTTTTTTTTTAAATCTTACCTCTATTTCAGCAGGGGCATAGAGGTAATTGAAGAAAACAGGGCTCCTTTTGTGCATCTTTTCAATACATTCCCAAATACAAATTCCTTTTTTGGCATGTTTATCTCCTTTATCTTCAAACAATGTCCCTAGGGAAAATAATAGCAGCAAAAAGATAGCTTTATGATAATACACAACAAACACGAAAGCATAGCCAAAAGGAATTTCACAGAATAAATGTAGAGTAAAAGCTACTATCAAATGCTACTGCAACAAGATATTGTATTTGATGCAACAACTACTGTACTTTGCAACTGCAACTATTCGGTAGCATTGTATTTATAAACCTGTTCTGGAATTTCATAGAATCATAGAATGGTTTGGGTTGGAAGGGACCCCTAGAGGTCATCTAGTCCAACCCCCCTGCAGGAGCAGGGACACCGCTAACTAGATCAGGTTGCTCAGAGCCCCATCCAACCTGGCCTTGAATGTTTCCAGGGATGGGGCCTCCACTACCTCTCTGGGCAACCTGTTCCAGTGTTT